TAACTGTGTCTTATCTTTTTTTTTTTTAAATGTTGTACTTGGAATGCTTTCTGCTCCTTTTTCCACTACCAGTTTCAGAAGAGAGGTGTGATGAAGTGGAGAGTTTGGTGTTTGATCTTTTTGCAAATCTTGGTGCTACAGGTAATAAATATATCTGTGGAATAATTCTGATTTATTTTAATGTTTATTAGCATGTTTTGCTTAACTAATATTTCTGTCTTCTCTCCTATATTAGAGGAACAACTAGATTTTCCGGTGCTTTATGCCTCCGCAAAGGAAGGATGGGCATCGTCTACCTACACCAAAGAACCTCCTGCAGATGCGAAGAATATGTCACAGTTGCTTGATGCTGTCGTAAAGTTTGTTCCCCCACCAAAAGCAAACCTTGATGAGCCATTTCTTATGCTGGTAATTTAACCCTCCGTTTGATGAATTTTTAATTTGGGTTGCCAGTTTTGCAACCTTTACTTTTTTTAAAGTTTCTTATATGAAATAGCTGATCATTAAATGTGTTTCCTAACTATGGCCGAGGTAGACTAGCACAGTTCACATGATTTTCGTTAGGCGTCTCAAAATAGAGCTTCAGTTAATAGCTGGTCAACTTTGAATGTTTGTTAAGTAAACTTGTTGTGTGATTTTATAAGCATCTTATTTAACTATATCGGTCAGTGAATCTCAAGAAAGCTAGAATTATGGGAAATAAATAGATGGTTGGAATTTATATCAGATAATATTCAGAATTATGATCTTCAGCTTTCCTATTCTGAACTTATTACTGCTGTGTAGATTATATGCCGAGATTGGTAGATATTCATATGTATGTACTTTGTAACTCTTGTCTAGAGGGGAAAGAATGTCTGAACTGTTTAAGCATTTGGCAATGGAATCTTTATTAGCATTTTCACTTCCGAGTTGCAGGTTTCAATGATGGAAAAGGACTTCTATCTCGGACGTATATTAACTGGAAGAGTATCTTCTGGAGTTGTTCGTGTAGGGGACAAAATTAATGGACTACGCCCAACTGATTCCGGCTCCGAGAAAATAGAAGAAGCAAAGGTTTGTCTGTTTATTGATTTGTTGTTGGACAGCCGTGTTTTTAAATAGAAAAGTCTCATCTAAGCAGATACAAACATTCTTTTAATAGGTTGTGAAGCTAATGAAAAAGAAAGGTACGACCATTGTTTCAATTGACGCTGCGGGAGCTGGTGATATCATCTGTATGGCTGGTCTGACAGCTCCATCAATAGGTCACACGGTGGCTAGTGTAGAGGTAATATCTGTGGAGAGTACTTACCTATTGATTTTTAGAAAACAATAAGTGAATTGCGAATTTAACAAAACTTCTTAAATTTCATTGATCCCTATTTAAAAATATAGGCAGCTTGAATTGGTAACTCAATTTTTCTTCTTCTTACAGGTCACAACTGCTCTCCCTGCTGTTGAACTGGACCCACCAACAATTTCTATGACGTTTGGTGTCAATGACTCTCCTCTGGCTGGTCGGGATGGTACCCAAGTACGTTTTAATTTGAACAACAAGACGTAGCTCTAAACATTGTACTCTGCTTTAATCTTGAAGCAGCCTTGGATTACCTTTGGTTGCTGCATAATTACATCTGAATTTTCTAAGTTGCTAGCATTCTGAGTTGATTGGTCCCCCACTAAGCAATATATGAAATAATGTTGTGTGTTTTGGATGTTGATTGGCGTTTGCTAATATGCATGCAGTTAACTGGAGGGAAAATTGGGGACCGACTATTGGCAGAGGCTGAAACAAATCTTGCCATTAACGTTATTCCAGGCTTGTCAGAGTCATTTGAAGTCCAAGGGAGAGGAGAACTTCAACTTGGTTTGTGCTTTTCGAATGTGTATTCAGTGTTTCGTCACCTCTGAAAATGGAAATAAACATTAAATACGTTAGAAAACATGTAACTGAATCTTTTCTATGTGCAAGGTAAATTAATCTCTCTCCTGTCTAACAGGTATCTTGATTGAGAACATGAGACGGGAAGGTTTTGAGCTCTCGGTCTCACCACCTAAAGTCATGTGAGCTCTCGTTCTCTTGTCTAGTTCTCAACTTATATAATTTTTGTGCAGATAATACTACACTAATACGTTAACTAGTCTACTATTTATCTACTAGGGATTCTAAAAACTTTATGTTGATCTTCTTCTGATTAATTTTTCTGATTCTATTATCTGATTTAGGTACAAAACTGAAAATAAACAAAAGCTTGAACCAATTGAAGAGGTAATTATTGAGATCAACGAAGAGCATGTAGGATTAGTGATGGAAGCTCTATCTCATAGGCGAGCTGAAGTTACTGACATGGGTCCTGTCCCTGGTAATGATGGTAGGACGAGACTGACACTAACTTGTCCTTCAAGGTTGGTTTAGTTACTCCAGTTACTGTAATTACAGCCATAAAACTTATACTCTTGATGAAATTTAACCATATCAAACTTCTTGCGTTCTACAGAGGTTTGGTTGGGTACAGATGTGTGTTTAGCAGTGACACCCGTGGAACTGGATTCATGCACCGTGCTTTCCTAAGTATGCAGCTTCTATACTCGCACTTCTTTTTCATTCTTTTTCGCAGTTTATTCTTCTTTCCTAAGCATCAACTCAGTTGAGTCATCTTTGTTCTAGTGATATATTTCTTCTCTAATTGATAACGGTTGTAAATTTTTGCAGAGTATGAAAAGTACCGAGGTCCACTTGGCAATGTTAGGAAGGGAGTATTGGTACGTTTATGTGTTACCTTTATCCAATGTCTGGCTCTAGGGATACTCTTTCCGTATATCAATACCAAACCATTTGATGCATAGCTATGAGCCTTGTTGTCGTATGGTTAATTGTTGAATAGAGAGATTCATTTCCACTTGTCGTCTATCTTTCCTAAAAGTTGTGTCTGCACGCTCAAGTTGTAATTGAATTTCTTGTTGAAACAGGTTTCGATGGGATATGGAACTATTACATCTCATTCACTGATGGGTTTGGAAGCTCGTGGAACTCTTTTTGTGTCTCCAGGGCTGGACGTGAGAACCCTTCTTTATTGGTTTAGTTATTCCTAGTTAGAACATTTATGTGGTCCTCGTGCTTATGCAGCATCTTCTTATGTGTTTTTTCTGTTTCTTTTAACAGTCATACGATGGCATGATTATTGGTGAGCACTCACGAGATACGGATCTTGATGTAAGTTGACTCGACTCACTCCTCTTCATGCTTAAATTCTCAAGAAATTGACTTAAATACCATGGACTCATTTGCATTGTACACTACAGGTTAACCCTGTTAAGGCCAAAGAGCTTACCAACATTCGATCTGCTAACAAAGACGAAAATGTGAAGCTATCTCCACCTCGCCTCGTATGTTACCATTTTGCTCTACCCTTTTTTCACAATATCTAAAGATACAAGAAACCTGTTTACTTGATGACTAAATATTCTTACCGTTTGTGTTCTGATTTTTACTTGTATTGAGATACTTGTGTGTATTTTTTTATTCAGCTGACACTTGAGGAAGCTATAGGATACGTTGCCTCAGATGAACTTATTGAGGTAAACATTGTCCATAACCAGTTATAAACCATGGAGAACGTTTTGTGTGTGGCTTCTTATGCATGTAGTATTATTGGTTTAATGTGTTCAGGTCACTCCAAAGAGGATCCGGTTGAGGAAGAGATGTCTAGACGTTACCAAGCGTAAATCCCAGAGCAAACGAGCCAAAGATTAACTTTCCTCACTTGTTTTTGCCCGTTCAGATTTTTAGTAAAAGCTGGTTTGGTTTTGGCTCTGTCCTCATAATCATACAAAAAGAAAAGTATTGAATATGTACGAGGATCATTCAAATTATATAGATTCATAACATATACGCATGAAGATGTATTCTTCTATTGAATACCAAAAAAAAAAAGAAGATAAAGATACATCACGATGTTGTTTTGCATTGTGAATCAGCGGATTTATGGTTATAAAGAGTTTTGTGGGCGGCCTTGGGTCTATTTAACGATCTTCAGGTCTTAGTTATATACTTTTATCTTCAACTTTTAAGTGTTCTTCATTTGTACTAAGCACTCAAGTACTTGGATCTGTTTCCTTTACTAGTTCGTCATTTGTACCAGCCGTTTACATTTTGTTTTTTTTTGTTTTGCATCACGGCAAGCCATTTTTAAAGTACTATTAAGTGTTCTAAAAAAGTACTTTTAAATGTTCTAAAAAAGAACTAGTACCAGCCGTACTATGATTCATAAAAAACAGATCCAAGTACTTTTTTAGAACACTGATTTTTGCTACTATCTTTGTTTCAACCATATTTTAGGTTTTTTACACATTAATAAAACATATAGTAATGTAAAAAAAAATTTGATTATCTTTGTCGTATAAATTTAAACAAATAAGAATCCAATCAGTACAATTAAATTTTTTAAAATGTGTAATTAATTCTTATTAGTTGACAAAAGAAGCATTAAAAATTTAAAAGAATATATATTAAACAAATCACATATTATTGGACCTCCCATATATAGGTTCTCTTACTGCAATCTAGTGATAACATTTGATCAAAGAGTAGTTGTTTTGGTATATGTTTTGCTGTTGCAACTATTGCAAGATTGGTTCCAATCATCCTTTTTATTAAATGATCTTGTCTACCTGCTTGTGGTATGTCTTTCTGTGTAACAAATGGTGACAATGATGATGTCAAAACTAACATTACAGTTTTGAAGAGTCTGAGCGTATGTAAAAACCAATATTTTTTTTTTTTACTTTCAGCTAGTCACAGGAAGAGACCACACCTACTTATTACTGTCTTTCCACATATCAACAAGACAAAAGGTATTTCATCTCGTGGCTTGCAATAGTAAAGTTGGTATTAACTACACAGTACTAGTATATAAACTACACCCTCCTTAATCTTTTACTCAATTCAAGATCTTGTCTATTTTTCTTTCTTTAGGTGTCTCACAAAATCAAGATCAAGTTCCTGAATCTACAGTGAGAAGAAATGCTGACAACAACTCTTAGTGGCAACTATGGTTTCCCTCTCTGCATCTCTGGGATCGCTCAGCACTTATCTCTCTCCAAAGAGTAAAATATGTTTCTTCCTTTGGTCTCTTCAGTCTCCTCTGTTTATTTTGACTTGTATTTCTCTCTCCCTTTGTGTTGAAGAATGGCAGATCATGACAAGAGAAGGAAGGTGATGATGAGGAGAAGGAGATCAGATGAGTCCAGGAGCCATGGTGAAGAAGAAATGGTGGGTGTGGAGAGATTGGATGAGCTATTATTGCTTCAAGAGACTGAGGATGTTAGAGATCTAGTTGCTTTATTACAAGATCTAGTGTCATGGAGCTTTTCTTCTCACATAGCTAAAGCTGCTTAGTGTTAAGATCTTCTTAACCAAGTTGTGTATGTTTCTACTAAAACTGCAGATCAAGAATAGTTAGCTGACAAAGAAAAAAACTTAAAATATTCTTAATGCTTTTCACAGTCGTTTGTTTACACGTTTTATTTGTCGTTGACGTGGATGTTTTGCTGCCTCTTTTGGCCTTATCCTGCTGTTTTGGTTTATAGTTCCATACCTTTCTTTGTTGGATGATGGTTCCATATGCTTTATCTTATTAAAGCTTACTTGTCGTTTGCTTTCTAAAGCTTTGTAATTTGTTGGATTTAATTGCCACTGAAGCGATATAATCAACAATCATAAACCCTTAACAATGCAATTCTAGAGTAATGATTCAGTAACTTGCCCATAGATGTTGCACAGTTTGGCTCTAAACTCTAAGATAGGAAATGCAACTTGAAAACATTCAAGGAAAACTAAAAAAGCATTAGGCAAAATTATCCAGAAACAGCATATAACTGAAACCTTAAGTCACAGAGATCCAAAAAGATAGAGATGAAAGTCACAGAAAAAAGAGAGGCTCAAACGCCATCAAAGTTCTTTTTACGCAAAGAAAACCAAAGTCAAGAGAGAAGTCTCATCATTTGGCACCCTTCTTGACAGCAGCCTTGGTGACCTTGGCACCGGTTGGGTCCTTCTAGTCAACACTCTTGATAACTCCAACAGTAACCGTGGGCTTGGTCGGAGTCATCTTAACCATACCAGCATCACCATTCTTCAAAAACTTAGGCTCCTTCTCGATCTCCTTACCAGAACGTCTGTCAATCAATCTTGGTGAGAATCTCAGAGAACTTGACTTCAATGGCAATCAAGGACTGGGGCGTAACCGTTACCGATCTGACCAAGGGTGGATCATGATGATGACCTGGGAAGTGAAGTTAGCAGCTCCCTTAGCAGGGTCATCCTTGGAGTTGGATGCAACGCTTAAGATCCTTGACGGCAACATTCTTGACATTGAAACCAACGTTGTGCCTCCACAAGAGACTCGTGGTGCATCTCAACGGACTTGACCTCAGCTGATGGTGCGAATGTCACAACCATACCAGTCTCAACACGTCCCACTGGCACCGTTCCAATACCACCGTTACCACATAAGCAACAAGTGGAACTTGCTCTGATTACACCAACTAATATTAAAAAATGAGTACAAAGTCACAAAAGGAACAAGCTTGTAGAAGAATGTCTAAATCCGAACCAACCAAAATCATATACGTCACAAGTCATACTTGCCCTAAAAGAATCTATCTGACACATTCAAAGATCATCGGTCCACCTTTTAAGATAGATTCCTCTATTCTTGGAAAGGAATGTTGATATCATAATGAAGGCAAACTCTAGTTTTCAAAGAACAAGACCCACAAGGAAGAACCACAGACGCCACAGAAGCACCCAATCTCCTAACTTGAACACAGACACCCTTGTCGTCTCTCAACAACGAAAACGCAAACCCCATAGTTTCAAGCTCAGAGGAATCAACAGAGAAGTAATCACCACACCTACACTGATAAAAAAGCTCCACGTCTTCTCCACTCATCTCCACCGACATTTCCTCTACACTTATCTCATCAGCAGTGGCTCCGTCCTCCTCCTGTCTCCAAGATCGAAGGTGGTTGTCGTAAAGCACGCGTAGCTCTGCATCGCTTAGGACTTGCCAAGCCTTTTGGATCTTGAGGAACTTTTCGTCGTCTGAGCGAGAGGTGTTTAGCTTGTCTGGGTGTGAGTGGAGGATGGCGGATCGATAGCTGTTGCGGATTTGGTCGTAGCTTGCATCTTCTTTTACGGACAGAATCTCGTAGTGTGTCTCGTGCAGAGAGGTTTCACCCAGAGGCATGATTGTTTGTGTTGTATCCTTTTGCAATTAACTACAGATTTGACAGACCAAAGGGAATAAATATTAATTCGTTTTTCCACACTTGATTTTCGTTCTATGTTAGGGAGAGGGTTTTCGAATCGGAGAGGAGTCTTGCGGCTACGATACTGAGAGAGAGAACTAATAAAGGAGAACATACCTTGTGAACAAAACAAAACAGAGTATTTATAGGTACGAGCTTTAGTTAGGGCTTTCGCATTTTCATTTGTGGTACAGTTTTACCAATGTGCCCTTATGCATTATTGGCGGGTACTATTTTAAAATTATTCTTATTTTCTCTATGTTGTGTTAATTCTACATTAATCGAGTTGGTGTTTGCTTAATCAAATCTTTTTATCTAGTAGGTAGGCGATTATGCCTGCAACTTTTAACAAACTGAGAGCATAAGTTATTCGACTAAACATGAACATATTAAATAAGAACAGTTAACTTTTATAATGAACATTTATTTCGGACATGTTATCAATATATATATAGTCACCTGAGATTAAAAAAAATTAACCTGACTAAACTTATTATATACTTTTTAATTAATATACTTATAAATTTACTATGGAATATGGTATTACTTTAGAAACTGGCAACAATGGAACATACGAGTGTGTAAGACCAATTCTAATATAATCACGGTTTTAACGAGACTAAAGTATATATGAACTAAATGAAAAGGGATACAAATGTGCAAAGACTAAACAAAACACATGTTAGAACTTGATGAACACACATCTTAGCGAGCTTTCTAAAGGACGAGGCTCTCTTGTTGTCTTATACCTATTGTTGAATTGTAGAGATACCTTTAATTTCCACTTGGGGTCAGTTGTGTCTGAACTCTTAAGTTATAATTTGAAATTTATTTCTTGTTGATGAAACAGGTTTCGATGGGATATATGGAACTATTACATCTCATTCACTGATGCGTTTGGAAGCTCGTGGAACTCTTTTTTTTTGTCTCCAGGGCTGGACGTGAGAACCCTTCTTTATCGGTTTAGTTGTTCCTAGTTAGAAAATTTATGTGGTCCTCGTGCATTTGATCCTTGCATATTTTCTCTAGCCTAAACTTTTCTCACAACATTTAAAAGAGATAAGAAACCTGTTTACTTGATGGCTAAATATCCTTACAGTTTGTGTTTTGATTTCTACTTGTGTATTCTTTTTTATTCAGATGACACTCGAGGAAGCTATAGGATACGTATACGTTGCCTCAGATGAACCTTTTGAGGTAACATTCTTCATCACCACTCCTGGGGGATTTTTTTGTTAGTGGCTTCTTCTTATGCATGTATTGTTATTGGTTTAATGTGTTCAGGTCACTCCAAAGATGATTAGGTTGAGGAAGAGATGTCTAGACGTTACCAAGCGTAAATCCCATCCCAGAGCAAACAAGCCAAACATTAACCTTCCTCACTTGTTTTTTCCGGTTCAGATTTTTAGTAAAAGCTGGTTTTGTTCTGGCTCTGTCCTCACAATCATACAAAAAGAAAAGTATTGAATATGTACGAGGAACATTCTGCATTCAGATTATATAGATTCATAACTTATACGCAGGAAGATGTATTCTTGTATTGAATAACACAAAGGAAGATAAAAATCCATAATGCTGTTGGTTTACATTGTGAATCAGCGGATTTATCGTTATAAAGAGTTTTGTGGGTGGCCTTGTGTCAATTTCAGGTCTTAGTTATATCTTCAATTTGTAAGTGTTCTTCACTAATACTTAGAACTCTAGTATTTGGATCTGTTTCCTTTACTATTTCTAAAGAAAAATCAACATTCTTTGGTTCCATATAAAAAAAGACTTAGAGAAATACTTTCCAATAGCACTAAATCAAAATTTTATTTTAGAAAAGGGCACGAAGGAAAAAGTCCTCAAAATAGAAAATTAAAATAAAGATATTGGTAACTTATGTTAATATTGTTGGATAATTCCAAGTTTTTGGAAAGTTTACATATTAATAAATGTTTAATATATTAGGAGATAAATACAAAAGTAAATCTATAATAGAAAAAGAAGTTTACTATATAGATTAGATTTGTGTTTCCTTGTATTACACATGTAAAAAAGATTTGTATTTCACTATAAATATAGATCTAATTGAAAGGTGTTCTACAAGACATAAGAGAAACATTGAAAGTTTTAGATCAATAAGAAAAATTGTGCTTATAAATTCTTTGTGTTTCTAGAGATTTGAAACATATTGATATGTTGAAAAGGTCCAACAAAGACATTTTCGTAAGTGGATTTGCAAAGGCTTTGGAAGAAAAATGGCAAGTCGATGTACGACTAAAAGCAGGGGACAGTTCTGAGGGCTCAGCCATCTTTGCACACAAACTTGTCCTGGTATCATCTATGATCTATCTACCTTCATCTTAATTTTCTCTTGTATCTTTTATTTAGCACCATCTTTTGACTCTGCTCTTACTTAAAATGCTTATTTTGTTTGTTCTTGGTATTTGGATAGGCCTCAAGATCAGAGGTGCTTAAGAATATATTAGAATTAGACGAGTTCAAAGCTCCATCTCAACCGGTCAAGACACCAAGAACGTCTCTATTACAAGACGGTGTGGGCGTTGGTCCCATACAAAATTCCAAAAAGAAAAGGCACAAAAAACAAATACGAAAAAAACGTAAGCCCTTTTGTTGCCGTGCTCACTACGCTATGCTGAAACGATCTTGCGAAACAGTCACTTTCGCAGAGCTGAAACATGAAGAGTTAGAGGATTTAGTTAAGTTCATGTACAGCGACGGTTCTTGTCTTTCTGTGAAAGCAAAAGAACACGTTAGGTCACTCTATAATGCAGCCGACAAGTATGAGATTCCACATCTACGAGATCTATGCAGAAACGTGCTAATATCATATCTGAATCCGTCAAATGCTCTTGAAGTCTTGGAGCTCTCTCTGATTCCTCTTGACAAAGCCCTACACGATTATGCATTCGGTTATATCATAAGGAATCTGAAGAGCATTGCTAACTCTGATGAGTTCAAGTTGTTCGCAAACGAAAATACAGATCTTACTGTTGAAATAATAAGGGCTTATATGGGGCTTAGAAACCATTGATAACCACATTGTAACTTTCATACATAAACCACAACTTTAATCTAATCATCTATTTATTGTATTTTAAGTTACCTTTTGTGGTTTAGTTTAGAGAAATTAGGTGTAAAACCTACAAAAAACAATATGTTATTATCTAATTAAAATCCTACTATCTCTCCTTTTTTTTCCTCTTCCTATCTCTTTCTATCTTTTTCTACAAAACTAATTTTTTTTTCTTGGTTATTTCACCAATAACTCTTTTAATTTATTATTTATTTTGGTGTGAAATACTTTCTCACTTCTATAATTTTAAAAGCAAAAGAGAACAGAGATAATTTTTTGATTTCAAAAGGAGAAAAAAAGCTTTAAAAAAGTTTCCTCCAATACATATTTATTTAAGTAAACACCGTCCAAAATCTAGTAATATCTTTTATTAAAAAGAATACAGTTAATTGTACAATCTAAAGTTGAAAAATACTACTCCCTCCGTTTCAGTTTAATTGTCATTCTAGGTTTTTACACACAGATTAAGGAAACATTTAATTTTACATATTTTCAATATAAAAACACAATTACCAATACACCTAACCACTTTTCAACCAATAGAAAAATATATTATCATATAAACCTAATAAATTTTGTCTCGAAACTCTAAAACGACACTTATTTTGAAACGATTTTTTTCCTCTAGAATGATATCTAATTCGAAACGGAGGGACTATAAACTTTGGTTGCTGGATGTCAGCAAAATGATTTATATTTAAATAATAGTAAAATACAAAATCCATTATTTTACTGTATATGTAAATATTAATTAATTTATGTTAATATTTGAATGTCAAATATTTATAAATGTGTTCTATTAGAAATAGTTACAATTGAAATATGACACACTAGTAATACGAAATTTAAAAAATAGATTAGAGATGTCAAATACAACCAAACAACTTCTTGTTAACTTGTATTATATCAAATAATTTATACATATGCAATAATGATCGTAATAATAAAATAAATCAGAATACATATTTTCGAAAACAACGCTGATAATTTGTATTGCTTCCCAAGAGAAATGTGAAACAAAAAAAAATTAGACTTTAAAATTCTCTTGTGCATTCCCCATGTATTGGAAAAAGAAAGCTATAAATAAGGTATTTTGACCATCTTTACTTGGTTCTTTATATAACTCAGTCTAATTAAAGTGATCTCAATATCACATAGCATGGCAACGCAGACCAACTTAAGCATTTTCCTAGATGGATTTGCACATATCTTGGAAGAACAATGGCAAGTTGATGTGCTTCTCAAGGCAGGTGACAGTGATCCAGAGGCAGCAATCTCCGCCCACAAACTTGTTCTGGTTCTGAAAACAATAATTGACTCACTATAACATTTTCTTTTGTTGTTAATTTTCTCTAGTGATGGCCCTCTTACTTTGATATCTTGAATAGGCTGCAAGATCAAAGGTCTTTAGGAAGATGCTTGAGGAAGATGAGTGCAAGACTTCGTCAGGGAAAGAGATGATCACTCTCTCGGAGATGAAACATGAAGAGGTAAAGGCTTTAGTAGAGTTCATGTACAGTAATGGCTCAACGCCTTGTGAAGAGCATGCTCGATCACTTTATCTCGCAGCGGACAAGTATGAGATCCCGCATCTACGAGACCTATGCAGAGACGAACTTATATCTTCTCTGAATGAGTCTAATGCTCTTGACGTTTATGAGCTTGCTCAATTCCCTTTTGATGATGCATTACACAATGCTGCTTTGGGCTGTATCCAAATGAATATAGCTACAATTGCTTACTCTGATGAGCTGAAGCTGTTTGCAGCGAGTAACCCAAATCTTACAGTGGAGATAATGAAGGTTTATGTTGATCGTACTAGATACAATTCATGGGAAGATTTATCAAAAAAAAGAAACATTTCATGGAAAGACGGTATCTGTTAGAAAAACCCATGATGTAGCTTTCGTTCTTCACTATGATTCATAGTCTATGAAATACCACAATCTTTTTTTGTGGGATTGTCACTGCAAATAATGCAACATCAAGTATCTTCTCTCTTTCTAAAAGTTCACAACACTTATCAAGCAATGCAAAAATGTTTTAATAATACAATTATATTAGTATAAAATTTTACAAATAAGGCTTTGAGAGGAGAAGAAAAATATTTATTGTATGGCTATTTCTAAAATTTCAATACGTACATATATACATAATTATATGGGTCAACATTCACAAGTTTTCACATAGCACAAACTCACTATTACATACTACTTCAGTTTCCAAAAGAAATATTTTATAAAATATTCACTTATATGAAGAGTACAATTAACTTTATTTATTTTTACTATACAATTTTTAATAACTAGTCATCAATCAATGATATTTGAACAATCCAAATTTTTCAATTGATGTTTCTCCAAAATATATAAAGTACTTTAAAAAGTAGAAAATCTATTTCTGTACAAGAAAAAAAATCTAGAAAAGTTAACTTTCGGGAACAAAGAGAATATGATTCTTGTTTTACTAGTCAAGTCTGGCAGAAACTTAGATATATGCTAACGTTTTCAGCTTTCTTAACTAACTCACCATGTAAAAAATGTTGTTGATGTGCTTTGTTCTCCGACGTTGAACTAGGGCTTTCACGTTGGTGGCACTAGTTTATACTTTATATACATCAAGTGCAAGAAGTACATAATTTAACTTAACAAACAAAACTTAAAAGGAATTGCCACTTATCTATCTATATTTTTTTTTTCCACACTGAAGATTCATTTAAAATAGAATCAAAGGAGGGATACATTGTTGAAATACAAAGCTGGCATACCAGAACCCATGCTCCAATTCTCTAAAGATGGAAAGACCAAATCCTATATCCGGGAGCCAAAGTAGAATCAATAAAAGAAATTAAAGAAACTACTAACAACTCATAAGTCTCAAACTTAATAAAAGTAATAAGTAAAAGGAAACAAAACGTGTGTGAGTCTATCAAATTAACTTGAAAAGGGAAAGTAAAAAGAAACAGAATCCGATCCAAATACTAGAATTTGAAGCTGCGCTATGTGGAGCTGGTGATAGTCTCATCTGATATTTGGACCATTATTAACAGGTGAATCAGCCCATTGAGGCAGTGAAGGAGACGAGGATGAGCTTGGTGACCCAAAAAGTCTAGGAACAGGAGCTGCAACAGGACCCATAGAGATTTTAAGCTTTCTTCCTATGCCGCAGTGACCAGAAACTCCACATATAAAATTTTGGACTCTCGGTTTCGTTAGAGTAACAGTTTCAGACCCGGTTTGGTAGCTATCTTGTGGGTTAGATGGTTCACACTGCTCGAAGATGTTGGGAGTGACTTCAGTGATCTTGTTGTAGTCTCTGTTGTACTCGGAGACCAAAGAGTCTCCAATGGCAACAACGCCGAAGAGTGCCACAAGAATCATCAAAGAAGCCAAAAAGGAGTGGCTCTTGATTAAAGACATGATCGATGTTCTGTTCTTGAAGCAAGCAAGGAAGACACAAGTTTGGAAGAGATATATTATGTTCTGAGTTTGTTTGGTGAGAATTTGTGAGCCTATATGATGTTTATATAGAGCCTCTAGCTATCCTTTGAACTATAAACCTTTTCACTTTAGGAATCTGACGATTTTTATAATTATCTAACTAATAAAGTATATCACATGATTAATTCCTAATTTTGGATTTGCTTACACTCATTAATTATCTACTTTGGATTTCCTTTTCCTAATTCTTTTGTATGTTCAACTTTATCACTTAAATTGATTTTGTAATTATGGTTGTAACAGATTTTCCTCCTGTAATTGTTTGCTTTTCCTTTTTATATTCTTTTCTATTTTACAGCCATAACTTTATATTCAAGTTAATATCTAAACAGATAAAACTACTAAACATATATATTCTTGCTTAATCTATTTCTCAAAATGATAATTTTCAGTTTCCTTGCATTTTCCTAACTTCTATTTTTTTTTTCGAAACTTTTAATATTTTGTAGTGCATTTATATTGCTTAAATACGTAATACTAGTTTCTTAACAAAAAAAAAATCATTAATATTTAAATATCGTTTTGTTAGAAAAAGTTAAATTTATATTTTAATAAGACAAACACTTTATATAAATTTTCACAAAAATTCTCAAAACTCTTAATTTGAAAAATTTCTATCCATTTTTTTTCTTTAATTCTAAGATATTTTTTAACATGAGTTATTTTTTTTTTTTTTTTTATTCCAACTTCTGAGATATTATATAACTTTTAGTTAAAATTGAAAAACGATTCACCAGTCACCACCAACCCGAGCAGGTCTCATAACCTCCACAAGAACCTCATCCCATGGCGATCCGTACCTACATCTCAGCAACCTCCACAACCCCACCCATTCCTCAGGATCAATCACGCAGTCCTCTCCCAACCAAAATCATCCTCCCCAACAAGAAACCGGAGAAATGGTCCACCGGCGTCGCTCCGGGAGAGTACGGTGGTCCTCCGACCACCACGAAGCTTCGAAAGTACTGGGGAGGAGAGAAAGAAGATCCCATCACCTCCAAGGACTTAATCTGGAACAGAGACTTTATGGATCAGATGAAGAAGTTGTTTGATTCTCCTGATGACTCTGCTCTTGACCCATCTCCCTCTAAGGTTAAAGTTCTTCTCAAAGTCCCTAGTGCTAAAGGTTACGTTTTTATTAAAATCTCAGAGACATTGTGTGTGTTGAATTGGTGATTAAACAGGAAGAGTCATCTGGGTTTCTGAGCTTTAGTAGAGTTATGAGTCTTGACAGGTTTGCCTTCTTCTTACATGTTTCTTTGCTCTTTAAAACTGATCAAAATTATTAATTTTGTCTGAAAACTGATAAAAAATGTTTCTTTTCTCTTCAAAACTGATAAAAACTATTTCTTTTGTCTGAGAACTGATAAAAACTGTTTCTTTGCTCTTTAAAACTGATAAAAATTGTTTCTTTTCTCCTCAAAACTGATAAAAATTGCTTCTTTTCTCCTTAAAACTGATAAAAATTGTGGCTTGGTGTTTTGGATTATGATGGTTGCTTTGTTGTTTATGTGTGGAACCATAGTATGGATGTTGATTTAAGCAAAGAGCTTGCAACGTCTTCTAAATCCGTCTTAAGAGAGCTTGAAGCCTCCAAATCCGAAGCCAACAGGCAGATGGTGCGGTTAACTAGTGTTCTTTACTGATGTGAGTAGCAACATTTGCTGATTGTAATTGTCTCTGAAGTGTGTGCTCTTTTTTTGTCAATGTCACTAGAGTAAAGCTAGAGTGTCTCCAAAGTGGAAACTTGCACCTACACGTCGTGAGCAAGATAAGTGGGATAGAGCAACAAAGGCTGCAACTGGTGGCAGTGTAAGTTTTATCTTGCAGATGATCATCACTTGTTGGAAACATTTGTCAGAATTGAAAGACATAGACCTTCTTGGTTCTTTTTTTTTGATGCAGGATGTGATGTTAAGGGATCTGAGGCGGCCACGTGGTGACCCAGAAGTATTGGCTGCTGAATCCAGGGAACAATACTTCAAGGTATCTCCTGTTCATTAGCTAATCATTTCACGGTATGGCTAATCTATTGACTTTTGGATTGGTTTTTCTGCAGCTGAAAAATAAGCTACAGCTTCTCACAGTTGGCATTGGTGGTGTAGGTTTAGTCTCAGCTTATATTTCATACACCCCAGAGATAACACTTAGGTTCGTCTTCTTTCTCCTCCAAAGAACATCAAATCCACTCAAAGAACTTTAAACCATTACCTGTGACTGTTGGAACAGTTTTGGTGCTGGCTTGATGGGTTCATTAGCATACATGAGAATGCTTGGTAACACTGTTGATGCCATGGCAGATGGAGCCAGAGGAGTTATGAAGTACGTCTTACATGACTCTGTTCAAAATTCATATCCGTTATCCAAAATGACTCACGTATCTCTTTTCTGTCTTTGGCTTCACTGGTTTGATTTGATAGAGGTGCATCTGGACAGCCACGCTTACTTGTCCCCGTTGTGTTGGTTATGATATTCAATAGATGGAACGCGTAAGGGCCTATCTCTCTTTTGTGCATCATATTATCTTTCACTGAAAATTACTTGGGACTGACTGACTTCATATGTTTGCAGAATACTTGTTCCTGAGTATGGATTCATGCACTTGGAGTTGATACCAATGTTGGTTGGGTTCTTTACTTACAAAATTGCTACATTCTTTCAAGCTATAGAAGAAGCCATCACCATTTCTACTCAAAAGACCGATGTCTAAAGCCACACAACTTCAGTCTCTATATAAACAAGTTAGAATGTGTTATGTGTCCATCATATCCAGATAAAGGCCGGTGATTAGGTCCAACTCAGTGTTGTAAGAAAATCTATTCATACTAATAAACTCATTTCATTAGCAGAAAATTATCAAGAGATATCATATATTGATAAGATAATCATTTCTATGAAAACTGTATATATGTAAAGAAAAAAGAAGTTAATTATTGATATTTCTTTGTCTCGTCACTTCTTCTCCCACTGGATATAAGTGTGTCCAACTTTTCTCTCTTTATTTTATCTTTATATAGAGTGCTTGACAATTAATAAATGAAAAAAAAAAAGTGTAAGACATGCAAGGGATAATAGATGAATAAAATACATATCAAAGAGCTCTGTTTATTCTTATTAAATAAAACCAAAATGCTCTTTAATAATCATACCAAAAAACACTGCCCTATGCAACCTCTTATCAAACAAACAACACAGACAATGCTTGTTTTTGTCTACTATTTGGTGCGTCTCGCCTGCTCCAAAATCTATCAAAACTGAACTCAGAATTCCTCTCATTAGAGCCTTGAAACTCTCCTGATCTCAAAAGCTATGCCATTCAGGTTTGTTTAAGAACAAAGATCGAAAGAAGCTGGGCTGTTTTGTGAGCTAAAACATCTTCGGCTCATATCCCCCCACAGAGAGTGGTGCTAACACAATGTGTACTCACAGTCAAGCAAGCCTCTAAGTATCTCTTCACAGTTAGGCCGATCTTGTGGCTCTGCCCAACAATCTGCAGATAAAGTATAGTAACATCTAATCAGACTGTAGCAGTTGAGTAATATGAGAGAATACACAGAAAAGATCAACTAAAATGTTCAATATACTACGGTGTTTCACAGTATTGAACCTGCAATTAACTTGCTGAGTGGACCATCAGGAATCTCAAGACGTGACTTTTCATGAGCAACAGCAAAGATAACCTAAGAATCAAAATTTCATCAATCAATCAAATTCACATGAAATGATTTAACCCTGAAAGATGTAGAATCATGGCACACCTTCTCAGGAGGAACACCTTCCCATGGTTTACGTAAAGTAGAAAGCTCCCACATTATGACCCCAAGACTAAAGATATCACATTTCTCTGTAAAAGGCTCCTGGCGAATGAGTTCTGGAGCCATCCACTCTGGTGTTCCAGCAGATGAAGTGTCCTTCATGTTTTCATCAGTCATTATTCTCGACAGCCCAAAATCACAGATCTTGACTGTCCAGTGTTTGTCCACGAGACAGTTGGCACTTTTCAGGTCACGGTGAACTATCTTCATCCGGTGTATGCACATCAAACCCCTTAGACATCCAAATAAAAGAGCACAACAACATCAAAAACGCATATGTAGATTGAAAAAAAAAAGATCACTGAAAGATGTAAGAAATTCCTCAAGAATAAATAACAAACTGTCTGAGTTAATCTTGCTTCTTATGTAACACAATTAAGATATTATAACTTAAATAAGGAAGATAGTTTTGAAAGAAAGATGACATATTAAGCCATAAGTAGCCAACAGTGCACCCTAATGTACATCAGTGTTCATGCCATTCTGCTAATCTTAAGAGATTCACCAGCCATAATTCACAAATTTAAGCATCAAAGGCAGAGAAAGAGCAAAATCAAATTGGTAACGTTATAAGGAAGCTATGTACCTGCAGATGTCTCTTAGCATCCTGAGCCTTCTGTGCCAGCTAAGTTTCTTCTTCTGGCCACTCATATGGATTAAATAATACAAAGATCCAAGCTCCATGTATTCCGTGATCATGGACAAGCGTGGAGGTTTTGTGCATGCACCCAGAAATAGAACAACTGCAAAAAAGTTACGTGAAGAAAATGATCTCAGACAATTTATTGAATAAACATGATACTACAGAAAGCGAAAGGTTGTGAGGGAAACAAAACTCACCATTTGGGTGGCGAACACGGCTGAACAAACATGCAAAACCATTAGTAGATGTACGCAGGGATTGATGCAAGAATGACCAAGCAATTGATAACAGGGGTACCTGAGGATCGATATCTCATTGCAGAAATCTTCCATGTTCTCGGCAGTAAGATCTTGCTCCAGAAACAGTTTGATTGCAACATCTGTCCCATTCCACACTCCACGGAAAACTTCACCAAAAAATCCTAAATGCAAAACATAAAACATAAGATAACGAACTCAAGC